CAAGTGGGGGTTTCGGGGCGGGACCTGGCCTTTCCAGCGCCCAGCGCGAAGCGCACCTGCATCGAGGCTGCTGGAACAGGCAACGCTGGCCCCTTTGTCATGAGAGCTCTGCGCTTACGAAGAAGCTCCGGAGGTGTGTTGTCTCATGTCTCATTGTCGTCTCATTGTTTTCGGAAAGTGACAGGGGCTAGGCTGGGCGCACCCTGGCTTCGCTGAGCCACGCGCTCTCCGCGTCCCCCTGTCAAAGCCATGATGACGTCAATTACAGTACTTTAAGTGAAAGTGACTCCGAACGCCTTAAGGCCAACGGAAACGCAACCTTTCCCGCCTTTCTGGCCGCCGTCTTTTGATTGGATTTTTTGCGTGCGCGATCCCAAAAACGTGCCCATCTGAACTTCGATGGCATCCACCCCAAAGAAGCTGCCAACCTCTGAGACGTCGATCGTGGCCGCAACAAGGTGGGTCTTGACGCGGATGACCTGAAGAACGATACGCACGAAAAAAGGTGCTGTGAACATGCGCACGTAAGCATGGAAATCGGGATGGCTCGCCATTACCATCACGACTTCACAGCAAGCGAGGGTTTGCGAGAAGGGGAGGGGTCCGAGTCTTCGGCCAAGGCCGTCTGCGTTTTGAGAGCCACAGTCCAGTTGCCTGAGAAGGCTCGCAGACTCCGGCGTCTCACAAGCATGACAGGCTCTTTCGCTAGATTCTCCGAGGGCCCTGGCCCTTCAGAGAGGGGAGGCTTGAGCCGAAGTTGGGGATGTGGTACTTCGGCAGCCTGAGACCAGCGCCATAGCTTTATAGGGAACTCGGAGCTTGAATGGGCATGTTTTACACATTCGCTGCGTTATACGGAGTGTACTGAGGCTTAGACAAGAGCAGCTTCTTCGAAGCATTGATCATCGACTTGGACCTGGCTCGCTATAGCTCTGTGATTAAGCAGAGCATGTCAAGGGGCAAAGAGGTCAACCGGGTCAGCGCCGCTGCACGACGGTCTTTGATGCCTCGCCGCAGCTTTTTGAAAAATGCGCGAGCATGAAGAACCCTGGGGGAATCCTGGAAGCACGTGCCTGGGTGGCGCTGGACGAGTTGGCCTTGCATGGCTTGCGGATACGAGCAGATCCGAACACAGGAGAGAAGAAGGGGGCAGATGCTTTGGTGGCTAGCAGCTGGTAGCGCCTGGTAGCTCCTGAGCTACAATTGGACTTGGGCCCTGGCCACCGCCAGTGGCATGTGAAACTGAAAGGATTGGAAGGAGAAGGTCAGCACCTGAGGAATCTGAGAGAGTGCCGAGCGCGCCGTGCTTCTTTTGGGGGGGCAACGTACCAAACCCGCATTCTTCATCAATGGTTTTGCAGGAGTTCGTGCCGGTCTGGATGGCTCTGCTGGCCAGAACTGGCCACAACATGCTGGAAGCAGCAAACAACGTCACAGCATCTGGTGCACAGTACCGTGAGGGGCCCGCAGCTCCCCGATGTCGGTGTCTGAAACACTCAGGGCCCCGCCAACCAAAGGAGCATGGTGTAGATCAGCCAGCGCCTGGCCCAACAGCCAAGAAGGAGATTGCGAAGAGGCAAGGCGTTCCCTTACCATTTGGGCCTGTCAAGGCTCTCCCAGATCAGCGGCATCTCCTTCGTAAAGCAATGGATTACTTGAAGACATTGAACACCAAAGCCGACCTTGCAAGTCCAAACCAGAGACCCTGAAGCAGGTCACAGCCATTCACGTCCTCCTCCATTTGTCGCTCCCAAAGGTCCCACCTGAAGAGCAGCGTATCAGACTTACACAAGAACAAGATACCGGCAAAAGGCAGACCCAACTCAACACCCGAACCTTAAACTCCCCATATCCCAAACAACTCTCCGACCATGTGCGTCCGATCTTGTCCACTCTGATTCTATATAGACTCTGTAAGGGAGCATCCGCCGCACAGGACCTGTAAGCTCTAACCCTCAGACTCACATGATGAACGCCAAAATTTCGCCAAACGTGCTGAGGGGCTGCTTCGAGCCCAGCGTGGCCAGGGCAATGCCTCGAAAGGAGAAAACTGTGCTTATGGCAGCTGAAAGCTTCTTCTCAGCACTTCAGCCTTGAGCGTGTCTTGTCAGATTGCGTTCGCACAGCGCGGTCTCTCTCGGACTCTCTCCTTACCCTGGCGCCTTCGCCGCTCGGCGGCGCCTCAGCGAGCGAAGGTGAAGAAAGGGAAGAGAGTTGGGCTCTCCGGCGGGTCAAGGTTTATCCACTGAGCTTTAGGGAGGGGTCTCGCGATTTCCTCCCGCACGCACACTCGCTTCGCCTGACACTCGACGGCCACCCTCTGCAAGAGGACCTTAGAAAAGAACTCCTGGGCTAGGAGCTGATACCACTTTGCCTCCTCCGTCTCTTGCATTTCAGGAGGATTCCCGAGGTGCATCCGCCGCATGCGCCGCGGTTCCCAGGCTTCCCAGATCGGCAGAGCTTCGGCTCCCTCGGCTCCTTGGGCTCCTTCGGCTCCGTGTGAGTTGACAACGTTGGGATCCCCGGACCGGGCGAAGTTGGCGAGGTAGGTGGACATCAGGGCAGGCAGGGTTCCCTTACAAAGTCCCCTCCAGTACATGGCATCGCTTCCATGCGGACTGTGCTTCAGCCCTCCGAAAGAATAGCTAAACACTGGCGTCTCTTGTGCCAACAGCTGGCTCATGTAGTGTGTGCCCGCAAAGTACCAGAGGTCGTTGCTCATCTTGCCGAGGGCTTGGTGTACCACCTTCGCCTCGTGCATCTCGAAAGGCCCGGACGGCCAGTAGCGAGACATGGCAGCACCAGCGGCCTCCCCAAACTCCCGGGAGAAGAGAGCCTCGTATGGGGACGGCTCCGAAACGTGCCCGGACATTCGAAAGCAAAGCCTCTACTGACACTTAAACCACTCAAATCGCTCACCCCGAAGCTCCCCGGCCTCCAGCTCCTCCTGGCTTCGCACATCGTGAAACAGCGTCTGTTCCAGCTCCATCTTGCAACAGGCACGGAACGCTCACCCTCCTCTCCTCCCGACCTCTCTCTGCCCTCACTGCCCGTCACTCCTTTCACCTTATTATAGCCCTTACAGAGCCCGTGAGTTGTCTTCGACTTTCCTTACCTTGCCCAAGCCGTCGTGGTCCGTGACGCCGAGCAGCACCGGCACCTTCTGGAAGCGGCCCTCCCTGAGCGCCTCCACAGATGACCAAGGCTTCACCGACGAACTTCGTCGGTCGATGGCCGGCTCGTAGCAGTCGTTGGCCGCTGAGGCGAAGGTCTTGGCCACCAGGGCCTGCGCCGGCAGCGCGCGCATGGCGGCCAATTGCCCAGCACCAGCTGCGCAGCCCAGCTCCTGAGACGACATGATTTTGATGACGTTAAGCTGTGTCTTAAGAGGGACCAGCTCACTTAACTTCGCTCCGACTCTGGACTCTGGACGCTTAAAGCCCAATTCAATTGGGCTTTGTTGTTCGATGTTGAATATCGGCTTCTCGTAGGATACGGCGCTGCTCTGCCAGCGCTCCTCTCCAAGGCACACACCCCAAGCCTCTGCCGTCTTCCCAAGCCACCTCGGTGAGAAGCGGCCAGGAGAAAGCACCAACGGAAGAACCCCTTTCCAAAGCTTCCCTCCCCCGAATTCACTTGTTTTGCTGTGCCAGGCGCACGTCGCAGGAGGAGTCGAGCTGGCGCACGTTGTTCAAGTCCGCGCAGCTTTGCACCTCAAGTCAAGGGGGATGTTCGCCGATGCGAATGGACGAGTGGTGGTGTTGAAAAGTGCTAGTATCCCGGGATGGGCACGCAATCTCTACGCTCACCACGAGGCAAAGTTTACAATAAGGAACCAAAGAACCCTATGTGCATATTTACGGTCCCCAAAATCGTTGAAACAAGACTACTTCATGTGTCGGGCGGAAAACTGTCACGTGAACTACCAGTATCGGAATACTGTGATACACTGTGTAATAACAAAATGGGATGTAGCACATATACATATGTATGTGACCGTGCAGGGGTGCGAGCAGTGGATTCGAATGTCGCGCTGCGGGTCATCCCCGCGGGGCCTCAGTGAGCCTTTCGACGTTTTCGCCGGCTGTTTGGGACTTCTCGGTGCGTTTGGTAGGTCTCTCTCGTTTTCGCTTGCGTTTGTCGGGTCCTCAGCTTTGGTGCTCTGGGCAAAGCCAGCTGCTTGTGCATGCCAGAGGGCTGCAGGGCTGCATCTTACGGATTCAGACCCGGAGAGTGAGAGTGAGAGTCCACACCGCGTTAGTGGATAGATGTGAACACATCGAGCCTTACGGTAGCTAAGTCTTCTTATGGTTCACAAATCATGCAAGCCCCCCAACTTGGCACGTGCACCACGGCTCTGTGGAAAAGGTTCTGGCCAGCAGGGGAGACCAGCAAGGTGGACACATACTGGGCCCCAGAGGACAAGCCCCAGATGGTGACGTTCCTTGCATCTCCGCCGAAGCTGGCGATGTGGCGCTGCACCCAGCCCAATGCGCACAGCTGATCCAGAACTGCATAGTTACCAGATCCTGCAAGAAAGAGCGGGCAGGATCTAAAATTCATGTAACAACTTCGGAGAAGAAGCCTAAATCCCGGTGCTAAGTGCACTGAGTGCACTGCATGGGCTTTCCCGCGGAGGTCCTGCTGTGCCTCCCTGTGAGATGCTCTCCCCGTCTTCTTGCGACAGCTCCGGGTGCGCGAGAAAGCCGAAGATCCCGAGGCGGTAGTTGATGTTGACGCAGCAAAGGCCTCAAAGAGGGGACCGGCGTCATGACTTGCAACATCCCGGCAATGCTCCTTTAGCACTGCCTAATCTGGCGCTGACTGACAAACTAAACTGTTTCGCAGCCGCTGCCTTGTTTAAGGGCAAGTTGATGGCCACTTTCCCTGGGGCAAGGCATATGATTATGCTCGATTGAAGTGAGGGAAGCCGAGCAAGTGCACAACTGCCCACGGATTCATCAGTCGACGATTGGTCTACAGTCTACCGGTGCTGCATCTGACTTGCAAGCCTGAAATACAGTCTAGTCTAGACTCTAGACCACAGAGAGAACTTGCCATCAAAGGCAAACAGACAGCGAGCCTGGGGCAATGAGCAGAATGCGATTTGCCACCGCCGCCATGTATGTAGACCAGGACTGGTAACTTTGGGGAGTCAGCTGTTGCCCTCAGGGCACTCAGCGGCGTCCAGACGTTCAGTTGCAAACAGTTCTCATCATCTTCCAGTACGTGACCTTCATAGGTCTTGCCCGGCGGCCCGAGCTGGGGACACCTTACCAACCTCAAGGGATTTTTAACAGATTTAAACGTTAACGGATGGATGCACAAGCGTGTCGAACCAGGCGACACCAAATGCAGCCAGGGCCCCCGAGCCTGCCCTCTTCTTCTGCACTGTCTTAGGACAAACCTTGCTTTACGTTCATAAAAAGCGCCCTGCGCAACGAGACGCCTCTGCTGCGGGAAGACGCCCGTCCACGGCGCGTGGGGCTGCGGCGCTCTCCAACGCCCCGCAGTGGCGTAGGGGATGCCCAGGAAGCGCGCCACGCCCTGGCGCAGGCGGCCTTGCAGGTCGCCCTGGCCCTCGATGCGCACAATGGGGCCGGGGTCTTCAGGGCCCAAGGCTCCGTCTTCACTCATGGCGCCCTCGAGCAGAAACAGCCCACTATATTGCAGTGGGGGATGGGAAAGGCGGTTGTGGCCAAGTGGGTGATGGGAAGTCTTGTACGAGTCTGGTAAATCTTGCGGGGGCTTTATAAAAGGATTGTAAGCCAAACCACAAACCCTGGCGCAACCAAGCCCACCCTCCAAGCTCAAAACCTGGACGTCCACACGCTGAGGCCCAACATTGGAGATTCTACAAGACAGAAAAGCCAGCAAGTGTGCACGTCAAAGCCGGGCACCAGCTCTTCGATGATGTCGTCCTCCTGGGATCGAAGTCGTGCACTGCAATGTGGGCTTGTGCAAGTCTTGAAAGCTTCTAGGCTCGGACCTCGTCCGGTAGGTGAACTGACGGGCAGCGCATCGTGCGCCACCTCTCGCACGCAACAACTTCAGAACGGGCAGAAAGAGAGCGCGCTGTGCGCCTGCAGAGGATATGGGCTCTGTATGGTTCCGAGGCTGGGGCCAGGCTTGGAGGATCCGAGCAGCGGCGTTGGGATGTGCTGCGAAGGCTGGCTTGGTCAAGTCGAAGTACTGCACCTCTCAAGGGCATCGCATCACAAAAAGGTGTCCTTCGTATGTTTTCCCTTCACAACAACCCTAAGCCGGCCGAACAACCCTAAGCCCAATACCTATACCCGCAGACGCTGATCTTGACTCCGCCGTGCCTCGGTAGGGGTCAGCGGCGACTCGGATCCAGCCCTTCGCAACAAAGCGTGCAGATACAGGGGGGGGGGGGGGACGCTCAGGTTACCTCTCAGGGGCGGGGGCCTGTAACCAGACCGTCATGGGTGTCTTTTGGGTGGGGGTGCGGACGGTGCGGATAGAAAGAAAGAAAGAGAGAGGGAAAAACAAGAGAGATAGAGTGTGAGCGAGAGAGAGAGAGAGACAGAGACTTCAGAGACAGAGAGAGCAAGCAAGCCTTGAAGAAATGGTCGTGGGGCTTCCTGACTCATCTGAGTCCTCCGAGTCCTGTGCACATGTTCGACTGAACCATTCGGGGAACTCAGAACTCAGGTTTATACTTCGTTTTTTGTAAAGCACGTGGCGTAGCTGGCCTCCGACAGGGAGCCTCGGTCAACGTCGGGTGGCGAAGAAGCCCCACGGCTGTCATCGAGGCCGGCAGCATGATCTGGCGGTGATTTCGGGGGTTAGCTGACTAGAAAACAAGTTAAAGTTGGGGGCTGCATCTTCAAAGAAAGCCTCGTGGAGCAATCACCACGACAGCATCGCGCAAGTCGTCGTCCGAGACCTTCAGTCTAGCATCGAAAGTGTGGATCAAGAGGAGCCTGGGAGGAGCAGAGGGGCCTCCTCGTACTCTGCAAAGTTCACCTGCAAGGATATCCCCAGGGTCCCCAAGATGACGGTCGCATGGCATCGTGCACGCCCGCTTGCTTTGTCATCTGCCTCTTCCCAGCTCAGGTCGCTGTCGGGGCTGGGGCTGCGGCTCCGAGAGCCTCTGCACAACAACTTCTAAGTACTCAGGGTACTCAAAAGTGCCAAAGTTGAGACGGTCTTCAGAGAAGGAGAGTGTGAAGTCTTTGGCGGACTCCTCTTTCGCTGTTTTTGCCCAAGGCCCCGGCTTCCGATGCGGGACATGTGCAGTGGCCTCTCGCACATTCGATGTATCACATATTGTAAACTATCAGGTAACGTAAAAAATGTAGTAAAACAATCAATGGGTACATGCAGTACACGTATACATACATATGTATATATGTATACATATATGTACATTTTTTATGCTGCTACAAATAGAATATTCCCTTCACTTGCCTCGAAGCTGAGAGGCAAGGGTGGGCAGTCTTCAAAATGACTGAACAAGGGCCCGTCCCCACAACTTGAGCCCTCGTAGGAAGCCAAGCAAGCTGGTCTCAAGCATTCTCAGATTTCAAGCCAAACGAAAGTCGCAGACTTCGGCCCCCGAGCCGAACTCTTAAACGCCAACGCAAGTGCAACTTGACAGGACCCTTGAAACAGGCACGGCCGGGCCGCTTCCGCATCTGCACCAGGCTGCTCCTCAACTCACCCAAGTACGCCTCCACTCACCCTGGGCGTATTGCCGGTGAGGCTCTGGGAGGCATCGATGACGACTTTCTGCTCCACATTCTTCACCTTCATCATCTTCTGCGCGAACCTGGAGCTGAGAATGGCCAGAACAACAAGCCTAAGCAAAAC